TCCTCCCACTTCTTTTTCTCATAAGGCTTTTCCTTAAATGCGGGTTAGTGGTAATAATGAGATGTAAAGACTAAACAAGAAGCATCTAGATAAAGAATAATGCAGATAGAGAACGCAATGAAGGGAAATCTATATAACTCAAACTTCACTAACCTTCGCGCATAGCGTTTTTGCGAGTTTATCAACAAGCGAATCCGTATATTGTACCCGTCTCAGTAAAGGATGATTTGCAGCTTGTCTCAAACGAATCAAAGCTCCATAGGCATTACTTGTATCACCATCAAATCCTCTGACGCTGTAATTCGATCATTGCATGAAGCAAAAATTAAGGCGGAAAACAATTTATCTATAGTCCTTGCCTGTCTAGTGTGTTCTCATACAACTCCTTCTGGTCTTCTAACATCTCCACTTCAATCACTTCTTCATGTTTTTCGGGTAAGTGACCCAGTACCTATAAAATGTCGCTAAAATCAGGATTTATAGGATAATGTTGATGTTTTCGCGGGGATTCGTTAGATTTGACGTAAACAATTTATCCACACTATATAGTTTCCAAATTAATAACTGTAAGCAAAGCTTAGCTTCTTTGCCTTTGCCATTTTTACCTGCGTTTTCAATCGTCGTAGAATGTATGGTTGTAAGATTTGCTTAGCTTGTTCTATTCTATCTTTCTGATACATAGAACACGACCCCGATTCCAGAGCAGGACCTTGCTGAAAATTTTCAAAACTGGTTCAGATTTTGTAAATGGCGACCTTATCCTAACTTACCTGCTTGAAGTGCTGAAGCAGTTGTCCGATATCCTCACAATACTTCGTGAATATGTTGGTCATTACAAAATACATCAACGATATCAATTCTATGAGATTATTCTGGAGTGGCGTACCAGTCATCAGGATTTTTCGTTTCCCCTAAATATAGTCTTATTTTCGCAGCCCTCAATGAGATGCTAAACACACTTGCCTTGACTTTCATCAAATTTCTATAACGATCAGTGCCGCAATTCTTCAGCATATGCCCCTCATCATAAATAACATAATGTAAACTGAAATTCTTGAAAAACTTCTTGTCGTCGTGTTTGGATGAGATCATATTGTAAGTGGTCAGCACAACATCAATCTAAAATCGAATTTATAATCGCCTCAAGGTAAATACAAATTTTGAAAAACAAACTCACGTTCTCTTTCTTCTTTTTTGCCATGTGGCGAAGTTGTCTTCGTTCATCTTGACTTCCATAATATGTCAACAACTGTAAAAAGGACTAAGACTTCTAAGAAGAAGAAAAAAAACAAGCAGAGGGAAAAACTAGAGACTCACGCGAATTTTTGGGCACCACTTTATAAATTCTGACATCCAGTTTTCAATGGTTGAAGATGGAACGACGACAAGATGAGGACCACGAACATTTGCTTCTTTCAAATAAGCAATAAATGCTATCACTTGTATGGTTTTACCGAGACCCTAAAATAGGACGACTTTAATAATCGATTTGACATAGAAAGACAAGCAGCATACCATTTCGTCTCCTAGGATGCAATTGAATCCCTTCTCATACATCATTATCAGCCAGTTCAATCCCACCTGTTGGTATTCGTGCAACGAGCAACTGCAAATGAGCCCATTGTCTCAAACAAAATAACTTCAAATTCCTACCTGTTGTCGAGAAGTTTCGGTTGGAGTCTTTTTTGAGATAAGTGCTCAAATTCTGCAGCTACAGCTTCTGCATGATCTTTACAGTCATCCAGGATCTTTTCTAAAATTCCTCGATTTTCCAATGTTTCCATATAGGCATTCAGAGCTCCCATTCCTCGCGGCACCTCAGATATTGCTCTCTCCTAAAGAAGTTTCCAAAAGCATAAAAGAATGTTCATTGAAATTTCATCTTCTCCCAATAAAAAAAAAACTGTAATGAATCTGCACAAGATCATAGTAGTTAAATGATAAGGCTTATCTACCTATTTCAAGGTCGAATTGAACTGAATATTATAGTACACTAACCAACTCTCTGAATGAAGCAAATGGGCGATCATCCAGGATTTTGCTTGCAATTCGCTCGGTGACTCGTGGTGTAGTCAGCAACTGTTGACGAGTGGCTGTGTTAAAGAAATCCAAACATGCCCGTGTAACATCGTCCTCGTCCTCACTTCGGTCACGATGGTCCTCATCCTAAGGACAGGTTTTCCTAGCGAAGTCAAATAGAAAGAAAGGAAGGGGAAAAAAAGA